AAATGTTGCAATGATGTGACTCCGGACCAGTTTTTCAAAGCACTTCATCACCACTGGCGTCAAGTGCTACTGGCCGGTAGTCGTTGAGGCTGGAAATGTGGGTTTTTTTCTGCAGGGGGACTATGGTGGAGGACTTTAGGCAGGATGGTACCATGGACTGTTCCAGAGACAGGTTGAAAATCCTTGTGAAGACTCCAGGCAGCTCGTCAGCACAGTTCCTCAGCACACGTCCCGGGACGCCATCAGGTCCCGCAGCCTTCCTCGGGTTGACGACCCACAGCGTGTGCCTCACCTCGTGCTCCTCTACTGTGAGGTTCAAGCTGCTGTGGACCGTGGGGTTTGGTGATGCTGTCCCTGGTGGTGTCACCTTAAAGCGGGCAAAGAAGAGGTCCAACTCCTCTGCCAGAGCGGTGTCACCATCAGCAGCTCCGAGGTTGGCCCTGTAGTTGGTGAGGTGCTGAACTCCCTGCCACACCTGCCTGCTGTCGTTACCGTCCAGGCGTTCCTCAATCCTCCTCCTGTAGTCTGCTTTGGCCTCAAGGATGCCTCTCTTCAGGTTAGCTTGGGCTGTACTGTAGAGAGCTTTATCTCGGGATTTGAAGGCGATGTTCCTCTCCTTCAGCAGCTGCTGGACCTCCCGGGTGATCCAGGGCTTCTGGTTGGGGTAGACCCGAATGCGTTTGTCTACAGTGACAGTGTCTATGCAGTTTTTAATGTAGCACAATACACTATCTGTGAACACCTCCAGGTCCTGATGTTCCAAGACCCCCCAGTTGGTCCTATCAAAGCAGTCTTGCAGCTGCTGGGTGGCACCCTCAGGCCAGGTGGCGACAGTTTTTGTGATGGTAGGAGCCGTTTTCTTGATGGGGGCGTATGCAGGGATCAAAAGCAGGGACAAATGGTCAGACTGGCCAGGTGTGGTAGTGGTCTAGCCCTGTAGCCAAGTTTGATGTTGGTGTAGACCTTGTCCAGAGTCTTAGTTCCCCTAGTAGCACACTTAACATGCTGGTGGAATTTAGGGAGTGCTGCCTTTAAGTCTGCATGGTTGAAATCCCCTGCTATAATCTGCACAGCGTCAGGATACTTGCTCTGCTGAATGCTAAGGCTGCCATGTAAAAGTCCAATAGCTGAGTTAGCATTAGCATCCGGTGGGATGTAAACAGCAGTTATCATGACCACAGTAAACTCTCTTGGTAGGTAAATGGGCCTGCATTTAACAGTCACATACTCCAGATCTGGTGAGCAGTGGCTGTCTACAATCACTGTGTTAGTACACCAGCTGTTATTCACGTACACACAGAGCCCCCCTCCTCTGCTCTTACCGGAGTCTACTGTTCTGTCATGGCGCTGTGCTGTGTAGCCTGCTAGCTCAATAGCAGAGTCCGGGATGGATGAATGAAGCCAGGTTTCTGTGAAAATCAGAATGCACCTGTCCTTCACTACATTGTTCGCTGTAGTCTGTAGCCTCAGTTCATCCATTTTGTTCGCGAGGGATCTGGCATTCGTGAGAAATAGGCTGGGTAGCGGTGGTTTGAGTGGCTGCCTCCGTAGCCTGGCTAGCGCACCGGCCCTGCAGCCTCGCTTCTGCCTTCTCCCTCTACGCCGCCTTCGCCTCCTCCCCGCCAGGATGATAATCCACGGAGAGCCGGGGCTCCTCGCTAACTCCACGGGAATCTTGTGAAGACGGAGATACTCGCTTGTAACACTCCGTTCGTAACATAGTCCGATCTTAAGGAGATCGTGCCGGCTAAAGGTGTTACTCGCCCGACAAAATGTACACAAAACAAGACACAATGCGTACATAAACAACCATACAAGGGACCGACCGGACAGACACTGAGCTGCTGCAACTGTGTGCGCCGCCATTTCTCACCATCCCCATCTGCCATTGACACACTCCAGCTGTTGACTGATAAACCTCAGTATGTGCCCCAAGACTGCCAAAAATCAAACAGATCATCATTAGCAGCACGCCTGATCGATGCACTCTTGCATGAATGAGTTGGAGCGACTTGATGGCTACCTATGTAAACCAGGGTTAATGTAGGCGCTAAAGTCTATTGTCAGTTCAGCGTGCAAATGAATAGTCGCATTACTTGCTGTTGATGGCATGTGGCCTTAATATCTATTCATAGGGTGCATTAATAATAAGCAAATTAAACAGGCAAGTGCTCAAAATTAACAGAACAGAAGCAATAACATGATAAACAAGTCCTTGATAGGATAAATTCCTAACGTTTAACTCTATTCTTAGCCGAGGCCATTAGGCAGTGAACAGGTTAAACAGCCAAGTATGGTGACATTATTAGAAACAAATAAGTTGACAATAATGTACCCATCCCCTCCAATGGTGTTCAAGCAGACAGGAGAGACAAATTATGCAGAGATCACATGCGACCTTTAGTCCTTGTAGAACAAAGCTGTGGTGGTAGCTGACGCTCTTGACACATTAGGTCTGACTGTGCAGACATCTACGCTCGTGCGCACATGCCTTGCCATGTTCGTATGCGAGTGTGCTCGTGAGCGAGAACAGCACTTGCCATTACAGTCAAGTGCGCCTGAATAGGGGATCTCAGCCGTTGAAGTAAACAAACGTCCTTGCCACCCGTAAAATACACCACCACCAATTGACTTATTGTTGTAATTTGATATCGGGCGAATGCAGTGGCTAATGGGTGAAGAGATATCAGACTAATGCAGTGGCCAATGAGTGAAGAGACCAATGTCAGTCGCGCAGTATCACGTGTGACAAAACGAATAGGTGCTGGAGATCTTATTACATTATTATCAAAGCACATTGGAGGGAATATTTATAATAAAAGTGTACTTGAGGTCAAATTCAGCATTCAGGTTAAATCTGGAGCATTGGTTCACAAAATGCTCTTTCATAATAGTGATGGTGACTCAATTTGAGAGATGGAGGTTCAGCTTCAGCACATTGCCACAAGGTCCAGTCAAACGTCATCCCCAGACCAACTCATCCGAATATAAGTGCACCAAGCTGCACTGTAAGATCTGGTTTTAAATCACATATTCTCTTCTGTCCCGTGGTATTTTATATTGTAGAAAAAAAGAAAATGTGAAGTTTTTTAATGAAGATGGAAGGAATTTAATGATGTCAGGTACTTTCAAGCCATGTTTATATACTGCTCCCCCCCCCACCCCAAAAAATGCCAAAATGTTATTGATGCTCAAAATAACAGTTACGTTTTTGGTGCCCTGGGAAATTAGGAGATAGTTATTTATCAAAACAAACAGGTATGGCCCAGTTGCAAGCAGTGATAAATAGAACATGAATCGATTCACTGCATATACCCTTCGTGTTGTGACAAGGGGCAGGTAATGCTGAAACCTCAGGGCTGTTGCAATTCCTCACGTTCCCCCCCACCCACACAAATCACAGAGGGGATATAATTATGCCGCATCATTTGTGTGACGCACAATACCCTCGGACTGCCTTTGACTTATTACAACCTACTATCACCTGCATCGTTGTGGCCTGCAGCCTTGACATTTAAATGGCTGGAACATGACTGTGTTATATACGCGCACTATGCTCACTGTTACTTGGGACACAAGCGGAAGGCATCCTGGTCAGTGTCGCGTGCTTACGAATCCAGTGACCTGCACTTGGTTTTCAACTGTTTTTGCTTCCTGAGGGGTCTCCCTCTGGCCACCACAACTGCACATTGCAGAATTAATATAAGTGGCTGGTGTACAGTGGGTCACAAGGCCCACCATATGTGAAACAAACATCCAAAGCTGTATGGCCCTTCCACTATTTCGGTCTCTCTCACTGCATTTTTTTGCCACTGCCCTTTAATAACCTCCGATTAGCACGGTCGGCTACGTACAGCGCGGAATAAGTTTAACGTAGGTACATAGCCTGCATCACGTCTGAAACATTCCTGTTATAAGAAAATACAATTTTCTCTCACTGTATTCGGTCGTGTGCAGCACGTAGTTATATATATCCAAAAAAGTCCTTCACAAAATAATTTGAATTTGTTAAAATTGGACCTCTCAGCTTGTGAAAATGTGTGCTGTGAGGAAATAATAAATCATGAAATACTCCAACTCAAAAAGTGGCTAGAACAGATACTTTAAAAGAGAATAAAACGGCATTAGATTATGGCCTCACTTCTAAAGGCTGATCTTTAATGAATTGTCATGAAGTGTTACATGTCAATTCATCCTCCTGTAGACAATTTGTATGATCAACTATCCTAAAATATCTCCGATTTCTTTAACTCCTTCAGATGAATGAAAAGAAACTCATCCGTAACCAAAGCAAATTCCACCATTAATTTACAACTCTAAAATATATCATTGGGCCGCAGATAAAAATAACACAGCCCCTGCTAAAATTAACCATTGGATAAGGGTTAAGGGCAGTGCATTGTACATCCATCACTGTGCTGTAACAAGCAAAGGTGTGCGCAGTTATTGAGTGCTATGTGAAGGAAGTCACAAAACAAGAAGATTAATAGAGGTAAGGTGGTATAAAAATGTCACTTAAAATAAAAAAAAAATATTTACTCTGAAACGCTGAAAAATAGAAACTGTAAATGCACTGTTGGCAATTAACGGAGAATGCAGTCTTTACTAAATAATGTGTGTTCCTTCTAAAGTTATATATTTACCTATGCCTGTGACAAAGACTCCATTAACACATGAGCAAGGAACTGTTCATTTTTCGTTGATGGTCTTAAGCCAGTTGTGAAAATTCCATATGTATGATGTCCTAATTTTAATGAATCTCTAGGGAGGAATGACCGAGTTTGTGTTCCAACCATAATCTTGACTTGTCATCTTCTAATTCTGAGCTGAGCAACGTGATTATCTAGGTGTGCATCTTCGAGGCAGAAAGAATGAGTTGAGATAAACAGGGAAGGGATGAGGCCGAAGCCATGGGGAATTGTGGGGCAGGTGGGAGAGAGGTAGCTTTAACAAATAACGGTGAAGTTAGGAGGAGAGGTACGGAGAGACACAATCCCTACCTGTTCCTCAGAGAGCTGGGAAATGTGGTTCACAGCGGCAAATGACTCAATTTTCGGGCTGAAGTGATTGACGATGGCTCTGAAATAGACAAATTGCAAGACATATATTGAGAACTCATTACAATTCAAAATGGTGTGAACTTTGCACCGTTATGTAAACGTGTGATATACTTTGCTTTCAAAGTTGCGACGGCAGTGAGAGGCTACTAAAAAGAACGAAGCGAAAAAGAGACCGTGCCAATCTCACGCAGAACATCTTGAAGTCTGACCAACATGGCCGTACAATACCCATCACAATGATTCACGCCCACATGATCCAGGGCGGAACGCACGTGAGGTCGACAATGATGCTTGCATGCATTTTACGGATTGCCATTCAGGGATCGAGTGGCTTTTAATGCCATTATCCAAGGCCACAAGCCCTAGCCACCTTTCCCTCTTTCCCTACACTCAGTATCTTTCTAGAACGGAATAATTTCACCGAAATAACTTGTATTACTGTTCCAGTGTCAACTATAATACGCTATGTGAACTTACCATGATTCAGGCTATACAGTAGCCTAAATTTGTTCTCCTTGATGGTGAATTATATCAGTAGCAGAGGGTATTGGTTTGGCTGTATGTGTAATCGTTGTTAAAAAAATAAAAAATGTACTGTGAAAAGTTTACCTTTGATATGCAGCTTCAACCAATCCTATTTTAAGCTACCACATACTTCCATGTAAACAGCAAAGTTTTTAACTGGCTCAGTGATTCTTTGCTCATTTCGGCAATGCAGTATTGGTCCTCTATTTCGGTGCCTTTGAGACAGTGGTAACAATTCTGCATTTCCACGGATGATGGCTCTTGGGTGTCCCACAAAGTAAAACTCAATTTAACAACCCCCGGGATTTGAGCTAGCAGTCCTCTGACTGCGAGTCAAGTGCTCTAACCACATTACGACCCAGCTAGATACGCTGGCTTACTAGCTAATAATAATGGACTATTGGAGCGTTTCATCACGAATACCTATCGCTACGTACTGAAAAGTAATTCACTGTCTCTGGAGACCGAGGAAGAAATCACGACCCTTACCCTCAGAGTACCGCATGATTTGTTGGCAGTACTGGAGAATAGAACTGAGATTACTTAGCTCAGAGAATAGGCCTCTTAAGATTGAACTGAATTGGTTTTCGAGCTCTCCTTTTTTACAAAGAGATTTTGAAGAAAAGTATCTTCTCTGGAGATATGTTGTTTTGATCCAAAACTTGTTTTTTTATACATGTGGATTTGGAAGGGTGGCATTAGTGTAAGAGCAATTTAAATTCAGCTCAATGAGTTCCAATTCCAGGTCATTCTGTGCCCCGAGACATTTGTTACGTTACGGTTGCAGATCGCTTGCAAGTAGTTGTATATTGTGCAATACCAGTGACAAATGGAAATCTTTAACCTGGTTAAGACCGCGCAGAGATAAACTCGATTTCAAATTAGGACCTAACGTGATGTACAGGGAAAAAAAATCCCTTAAAAATTATGAGTATATATACACACACTCACTCACAAATACAGTGAGGGAAAAAAGTATTTGATCCCCTGCTGATTTTGTACGTTTGCCCACTGACAACGAAATGATCAGTCTATAATTTTAATGGTAGGTTTATTTGAACACTGAGAGACAGAATAACAACAACAAAATCCAGAAAAACGCATGTCAAAATTTGTATAAATTGATTTGCATTTTAATGAGGGAAATAAGTATTTGACCCCCTCTCAATCAGAAAGATTTCTGGCTCCCAGTTGTCTTTTATACAGGTAACGAGCTGAGATTAGGAGCACACTCTTAAAGGGAGTGTTCCTAATCTCAGCTTGTTACCTGTATAAAAGACACCTGTCCACAGAAGCAATCAATCAGATTCCAAACTCTCCACCATGGCCAAGACCAAAGAGCTCTCCAAGGATGTCAGGGACAAGATTGTAGACCTACATAAGGCTAGAATGGGCTACAAGACCATTGCCAAGCAGCTTGATGAGAAGGTGACAACAGTTTGTGCGATTATTCGCAAATGGAAGAAACACAAAAGAACTGTCAATCTCCCTCGGCCTGGGGCTCCATGCAAGATCTCACCTCGTGGAGTTGCAATGAGCATGAGAACGGTGAGGAATCAGCTCAGAACTACACGGGAGGATCTTGTCAATGATCTCAAGGCAACTGGGACCATAGTCACCAAGAAAACAATTGGTAACACACTACGCCGTGAAGGACTGAAATCCTGCAGCGCCCGCAAGGTCCCCCTGCTCAAGAAAGCACATATACATGCCCGTCTGAAGTTTGCCAATGAACATCTGAATGATTCAGAGGACAACTGGGTGAAAGTGTTGTGGTCAGATGAGACCAAAATGGAGCTCAACTCGCCATGTTTGGAGGAGGAGGAATGCTGCCTATGACCCCAAGAACACCATCCCCACCGTCAAACATGGAGGTGGAAACATTATGCTTTGGGGGTGTTTTTTCTGCTAAGGGGACAGGACAACGTCACCGCATCAAAGGGACGATGGACGGGGCCATGTACTATCAAATCTTGGGTGAGAACCTCCTTCCCTCAGCCAGGGCATTTCAAATGGGTCGTGGATGGATATTCCAGCATGACAATGACCCAAAACACACGGCCAAGGCAACAAAGGAGTGGCTCAAGAAGAAGCACATTAAGATCCTGGAGTGGCCTAGCCAGTCTCCAGACCTTAATCCCATAGAAAATCTGTGGAGGGAGCTGAAGGTTCGAGTTGCCAAACGTCAGCCTCGAAACCTTAATGACTTGGAGAAGATCTGCAAAGAGGAGTGGGAAAAAATCCCTCCTGAGATGTGTGCAAACCTGGTTGCCAACTACAAGAAACGTCTGACCTCTGTGATTGCCAACAAGGGTTTTGCCACCAAGTACTAAGTCATGTTTTGCAGAGGGGTCAAATAGTAATTTCCCTCATTAAAATGCTAATCAATTTATAACATTTTTGACATGCGTTTTTCCGGATTTTTTTGTTTTTATTGTCTCTCACTGTTCAAATAAACCTACCATTACAATTCTAGATTGATAATTTATTTGTCAGTGGGCAAACGTATAAAATCAGCAGGGGATCAAATACTTTTTTCCCTCACTGCAGCTCATAAAAAAACTGGAACAAACGAAAACCACGCTGACATGTGATCTGTGAGAAGTTCAGAGAGATGATAGAGAAGACATTTCACTTCAAACAATGTGAAAATTCACCTGATGTTCACCAGGGCTTGTATTACTTTGCTGGCTGGCTCTTTCCATTGCCCATTGTTTGTCGAGTGCCTCAACACTGAGAACGCAAACAACACACACAACCCATTGCAATGCACCATCAAGCTACAATATATGCAATATTGCTTTATACTTATTGTTATGCAGTTTTATAAAAAAAATGTACAGTAAAACCTTGGATTGCAAGTAACTTGGTCTGCGAGTGTTTTGCAAGACGAGCAAAATTTTAAAATAAATATTAATTTGATAAACGAGCGAGGTCTTGCAATACGAGTAGTACGTATACGCTTTGTCTGCCGAGCGTCACGTGATCACAACTGATATACGAGTGCTTTGATATACGAGTGCTTTGGATTACAAACACATTTCCGGAACAAATTATCCTCGCAATCCAAGGTTTTACTGCATATGTTTATACAGGATCATGCACACTCCAGCCTGCAAGCCCTCTCCTATCAAGTGGTATCGCTGTTAACCTTTCATTATATTAATTGCCTAAAAGTTTACGAATACATGATGTATTAATTTTACATTGAAGGCACTTTGCAAGGCTATATGCTCACTGTATGGTATACAACCACGGATAAGTATACTTAAGTATTACCCATATTTGCAGCATACATAAATATTAACAGTCCTATGTATACCAATATGAGTATGTGATGCATCCATGAAAAAACTATATTTCATTTATATTCAAGGATATATTGATAAGGATATAATTTTACAGTAACTCATGAAACTATCGAGGAAGATTACATGGAATAATTAAATAAAGGTAATAACTTGATCGTAATTTTAAGTCCACCGTCTTATGGACCTTCCTGGTGAATATTTTACAGCGTTTATTCCACCAAACGCTGCTACTTGACATATGTTTGCATGCTGTATTAAAAGCAGAAATTTAATTAGAGTAATTCTGTTCATCGTAAGCTGTTACAATCAATCTAATTAATAACTTTTCCCCAAAAACTATTTTTGAAATCCAAAAAAGAACAAAACATAATGGTACATTTAATGGCCAGACAAATTTTGCATTTGTAAATATGAAGAAGAAAAAAATATTTAAAATCACAAAGGCTTCTATTGATTTGTTTTAAGCGTGCAAAGAAATAGCATTGTGTGTGCGCGTGCCGACACTAATAAGTAAATACCGCACCGGAAATAATAAAGTAAAAAAAATCTAAACAGCAGCCAAATGCGTGTGACACTGGGCTTGGGAGTCACAGGTTTCCAGGCAGCTGTTTCAGTGCTTGGTCTCACACGCGAACCCTGCATTTTAATGAGCACCTCAGGCAGCGCTATAATAAGCCCGACGCAAGCGGGGCACATCACATGCGCCACGATGTGAGGTGGTGGGGGAGATTTAAAACCATAAATAAATAAATAAATTGATCCACACTACTTTCAACACTCTGGTCATCCGAACCAAAATTCTAGCACCAGACTATGGCCCGTGTGTTGTTACACATACGGTGCAGAGATGACCTTGAGATCATTCGGTAAAATAATTGCGTTCAAGGACCGAGTGATGCAGGAGGCAGATAGCCAGTGATGTATACACAGACACACACACGCGCGTAAGAAAAAAACCATCCTGTTTCAGCAGATTAACTGCTATTAGTGAGCACCTAATAGGGTCAGCACAGCACTCACAGGTGACATGGCCAGTACCGTGCTTAGTTTCATGTCTCCCCAATGCTGATGTTTAAGTAACACAACTGATCAGCAATTGATTCTTGCTGTGGTTGTCCCACCTGATGACGGATGCTTGTATTGCGCCCGAAACGTCGTGATTAAATTAATTGTATTCTTTATACCTACGTGACTTTACCGAAAGAACCAAAGAGTAGGGACCCCTGCAGTCACGAAAACTTCAAATCTAGATTACAACTGATCATTTATGGTTAAAGTTGATCAATGAGCGGACTAGGGCATAAATATATTATCCATGGCCAGAACTGGCTCTCATGTCAGTGATTTTGGTGCAATGCATAAACTAATTGAACTATCCCTCACCACACAAAACAAAAATCGACCATACAGCTTTAACAGACTGTTGGGGCAAGTGCTGTTAACGAGCACATATGACATACTGGTACTTTGTGAAAAGTGTCCTATGAGTCAATAAGCCACACGAAGAGCTGGTATGGCTAACACTATGCCTTTGGCTCCCCCAATGATGTTTACACACCACACCAGGTACTCATTTTATGGCCGAGTCGACAAAGGAAAGACCTAGGATGGGTTCAGATATCCGTCAATGATATTAGCTGTGAGATGTCACACACAGATGCGCACACATAAAGATACAAGCATGCACCGAATACCGACTTGAGCATCCTGGACTAACGAAGCATGCTAAATAATACAACTGAGCTTTAGTATGTACGTTAAACAAGATTTTGATAGGTGGTCTCTGACACCCTGCGGCTAAAATACAATTGAATCCCATCTCTGTGCTGGGCATCCAGAAACGTGTATATAATTAACATAATACTTTTACATAAACAACTTACATTAAAGTCTAAGTTGTGTTTTTCAATCTCTGCGAGCACAGGCCAGTGCCATCCCCATCTGCGTTTGCGTGCAGCTACTCAGCACACAATTGTGCCACGATCAGGATTGGCTTGCTAGGAATGAGTGCAGATTGTACCCATGGAGTAGAGGTTGTCGAAGACCTGGTGCATGCGGATTATCTCGTAGTAGAGCTCGTCGTAGCTGCCAGGGGTCGGCAGGAACGTGTCCCCGAACGTGATGAACATGTTGAACAGGTTCACCACCTGGGCATACAAAAACAACGAAAAACATCCTCTGTGTACCAAATAGGCCGTTGGGGACAATGATGTTAGGGAGCACCTATTTAGGCACACGAGGATGTGCTGTGGACAGCACCATGCCAGGATGACGCTGTTTTCCTCCCAGTGGTGATATTTGCACAACGCATCAGATGGTAATTTCAGGCTAAGTCAACCTCACGGAGGCCCAGGACCGATTCAGACGTTCAACAATGATCGAACTCGGGTGGCCAAATTTCGATTTAAAGCTTCGGGGCGCTCTGTTTCCTCTCACACAGCTTGGGGGTCGCGGTCTGAGCTTGGCTGTGTTCACTCCAGCGCTGTCCTCTAGACAGTCTGGTCCCTTCACCTGATGAGGGCCACTTGTGTTGTGGCTGAAACGTCGTGAGAATTTTATTGTGTTATTTTATTTTATCAATTTATTATTTTATTCTCATTCTACGTGACTTTACCGAAAGAACCAAAGAAGATGATCGGGTGGACAAGTTCTTAGCGCAGTGCGATATCCACTAATCCACCGCTCCCATACGTGCACACGCACATCCGCATGAGAAAGCAATGGATTGGTAATGTTCCCACTTTATAGGTACAGCATAAACCGAAGGACTTTGTTTAGAGGATTTCCCCAAGTGAAACCTTTGATAAAATAATAGTGGATGCTATTCAATAACTTCAATGAACGATAAAGGGGAAGATTCCTGTCTCGACGGAACCAGAGCCCACCGATAAAGGGAAAATAGTAACATTCAGCGGCAACTGCTGCAATTTTACAGGGCTAATGATTTAAAATTGGGATGGACCACAAACAATTAAATTTTAGAGCAGCCAGCTCTGACATCACAGGACAGAGATGCTGCTCCTGGTTTGTGGGAAACAAATGTTGTTCTGGGCACAAATGTTGTCATGCCAGGTGCCGTCCAAAGCACATGCACCTCCCCCACCCCAATTTAGTGCATAAAATGTCAAAGTTAATGTAACGCGGCACTGCACAACGCAACTCTATAATTGTGTTTACCAGGATGCAATTAAAACATAATCAGCCCCCCCCCCCCCCCCCCCCCCCCAAGATGGAAGATCCCCAATACTTGGATTAAATCTCATCTGGAAGGAATTCAAAGCAATCAGAAACTAAGTGCTTGCAAAAAACCTTTGCAGTTGGGTATATCCTAACCTGCCATTGTTTCAGAGCAATCAATGCTTAATCGCATTCAAATATAACTGCCATTCACTCAGCACTAGTGATGGCTCTATGCCATCTCTCTCTCTCCTTCATATCGAGTCCATTTTTCTACTACCATCAACAACAACAACCGCCATTCGCCACTAAGTGGCGGTAACGTCACCACGGCGCTTATGTCAGGCTATGTGCACGTTAAGGCCGCGTGAAGTGTCGAACACCCGCTGGGAGGAGGTCACGGGACACACCCAGGTGCCATGGGTCGACTGACTGATATGACTGGTCGATGCACCACCTGTGCCCCCTATTGTGCCACCATCACCACCAGCAGCAGCTATAGCACCCATCTCTAGTCTCATCGAAGGACATTGGAAAAACTAAAAGGCTAACACAATATTCAAATCGCTCATCATATTCAGCCATGGCCAATCCACGACTGAATTAATCTCCAAGCCACCACCACCTTTCATGGTCCTGCAATGCAATCCGCCCAGCTCATGGGCGAATTTCATTACTCCATCTCCCCACTGTACATCCTTTTCGGTGCGTTCCCTGCCTTGGCTGCCACGTCGTCATAACTTTTGACCACCTGCCTAAAATCGCTTCTTGTGATGTGTCGCCCTGCCTAACGGCCAGAATGTTGTCTTTAAACCTGCGTGGTTCTCTAATCCACCTGTTCCTCTTTCTGTCTCTTAACGTCATACCAAGCATATATCTCGCCATGCTTGTACTAAACTAAGACACAGCATATATATTATCAGATTCAATTTTTACAATAATTTTTTATGAAAGAGTGCATCGACAATTTGAGTGTAGACCTGGCCTTAATGGAAATTACACAATTCCATGGCAAAAGGGGCCAGTTTCACAAGCATGACATTCCGTCGCAAGCTGTCACTCAAGAGTAGCTCCTTTCCCACAACATATGGAGATATGAAGCAACTGCTCCAAGTTTCACAATGCATTTACAGAACAATGCGGATGATGACCGACAGCATCTTTATTAATGCACCCACACTTCAATGTTGATTAGGATAGCCGACAACAACGTGAGAACTAGATGATGTGAAAGTCTAATGAATTTATTAAGAAAAGCTCTCTCTGGGGCCTGACAAGTGCCCTTTGAGATTGCGGTGAATTTAGAGCATCATGTTCCTTGATTTGTGCCTCGCTAAATCTGACACTCTGCAATGCAGGTGACTTTCAAAAACTATTCAAATGTACTGTGATATCAAGATTGTAACGAAAATAATAAGATCAATTCCACTGCCAGACTTCTCACCCACACCTGTAATTGAGACCACATCACCCCCAATATCCCATCCCTTATACTCGCTCGAAACCCAATCCCATACACTTGCTCTGAACCCCATCTTGGATCAATTCCAAGATGTGCTCGCCATCATCGAAATCCTTCATGCACTCGGCTCTGCCTACCTCTCCCCTCTCGATTCACTCTCGTCCACTCTCGTATCACTCTCTTTCCCCTCCGCGTGCTCTCCACTCCAGCAATAAACCCTTTCTGTCGAAGCCCCAAGTCGACGGCTCGCTCACTGGGAAGTCGCTAATTTCCCTGTGCTGCCCCATTACATAGATTCCTTCCTTTTGTTGAGGTCCAGGTTCAAGATCTTCCTTTTTTTTGCTCTGAGTATACCGGAGTGGTGGCGTGGTTGCAGCACAGTGGTTGGTGCTCTGTACTATGAACCCAGCAATCTGCATTCTATTTTAGGCCATGGCTGACATCAACAGTGGCCATCGTGGTGAAATACATTCACAAATTGATTTTTTTAAATGGCTGAAAATATCATAAATGAAATGACTAATTTCCTCTTTCTGAGAATAGGTTTCCCCTTTTTTCTGGCAACAAAACAGGTGTTAAGATGTTAAAACACCAAACTGAAACCTTTTCTGTTTATAGAAAATAAACATGCCCATTGTTTATGTGGTTATATTTATACGCTATACGAGCAGCTGCCATAGAAAACATAGGGTGTAATATGAATACATTAATTGTAAAAACTATCACCAGAATTGCACCCTTGGTGTAAACTAGCCCTACTTCAGTCTATAAGTGAGCAAATGCATGTATATAGTTAAACTTTAAATAGCATTTCTGGGACTAATTGGGCTACGGCATAGAGAAAATGCGCTGAAAACACTTCATTGCCATCGGCATTATTAAATATTGATCTACAAATGAAATAAACACATAACGAGCTAAAATTTCCAGCAATGGTCCTTCATCGCAGCGAAGAAGGGCAGTTGAACAAAGGCCATTGTCAGAAACATCGGTTCACTCATTTTCAGTCATACAGCAGTATTTGTGATTCATGATGACGGTAAAGTATTGTCAGCCTAAGCATCAGTGATGTCCTCATGTATACTAAAGCCCTAAGTGGCCTTAAACATTTGTATCGGATTTTCAAAAAATGACATTCAGTGCTCCAAGAGGAATGCATGATTGCAAGTCTGTTCACTCTTTTATCACAATCTAGGGAAGCTAAGTTGCTGATGAATCCATAAACTGTTAAAAAATTATGATGCTAGTTTCCATTTTCATGGACAGGGCACTATGTTTCCAGCTGGTACATATCAGCATACTTGCACAATTAAGTGTCAGATTCCCACGCAACACACCTCCGTCTCCCTCAGTACGCACCTCCGGTTAGTAGCACAGTTGGTGACGTACGGTGCGAAACAAGTCAAACACATACAGCCATGAATGTGGGTTCGCACAGGACGGGAAGCGGTAGGTGAGGTTTGGACAAGGTACGCTACCTGCAGGGCGAGTGGGAAGATGTTGTGCTTGCTCAACAGCGCCGTCTCGTTGGACAGGAGGAACTTGAGCAGGCTGATCAGCGCTGTCCCAGAAACAAAAACGCACGGACACAGGCAAGCATGATTGTCGAGGCTCAGTACCGAGCATCACAACATAAACATGAGCATCATCACTCAATTCAGCAAGGGGGGTCAATTACAAAGGACATTCTTCCCTTGGCTTTATTATGAAATTCATCCATTGAGCAAAATATAATTATATCCTTGTATGGTCCTTCCTGGCATCTTGTGAAGCTTTTGGCTAAGTAGACGCATCAAACGTAAACCTCGCGCGTGCACACGCGCACGTGTCCTTGGGGAAAAAAAGACGTGTTCTACACCGTAACTCAATCAACATTCATCATACAATCTGAGTATTAATGATGTGTATAACATATTAATGTTTCATACCGTGCTTGTGCAAATGAAAACAACGTTAATTATGAGCGATAATACAAAGCAGTGCAATGTTAAGTGCCCATGACAAAGGAATGCCTTTGTGACCGACCAACATTAAAATCCACATCCTTCGCTTTGCCACGAAAATCTAAAACAACATAAAAGCGAGCTACAAAATCACTTGCCCCCCACCAATTTAACACAGATGACAACCGATGGCAAGGCTTATCATGTGGTGACATTTTAGAATCGAAAAAAGGGCACGTGGGGCATTGCGTGCAGGCTGCCGTTGGATGCTTGAGAGCACTTGTTCACAGGGTGTGATATTCATCGCCCGAGGCAGTGGCGACCTGAATGTGCAGACAGCAATAGTGCCTAAATGCAGATGAGCGGAGAGGACAAAAGAGATCAATCGGTGCCTTGTCCCCTCTGCAGGACCCTCCCTTTTAAAAGCCATTCAGGATAAAATAGCTAAATGGGTTTAAAAAACGTGTGATATCAACATTTTGGCCCACCAAGTGTCATGGGTTTGGTGTTACATGTTGTTTATGTCGTTTGTGAAAATTCGGTCACAGTTCCTATGATCACTGTTACATTGCTTTTATGGCTTTATTTTGGTGATTTCGAAAAGTTTTTTGGTTTGGCCATGTTTGTTTGTTGTAGTATGGAGTTAGACTGATGGCCTTAATCTAAGTTGTTTTGTGGTTGTTCTTGTTGTTTGACTTGCATCCCACTGGGGTTTTTGCACACAGCGTTGGTGTATGGTGCTCTTTGAGGAGTATTTTGCTGTTTTTTCCTGGATTTTCTGTTTGCACAATCACATAGTCACTTTAAGATGTTTTTTTGTTCATGTTTTTGTTTTTTGTTTGTTGCGGTTGCACCCGATTCAAGAGCCGAATGGCTCACAGGGGTTTTACCAAATAAATGAAACGGAAAACTGAAATGTGCTAATTAACTTACAGCGATTTAAAGCTTTCGTGACTGCAAGGATTCATCTTCTTTGGTTCTTTCGGTAAAGTCACATAGAATGAGAATAAAATAATAAATTGATAAAATAAAATAACACAATAAAATTCTCACGACGTTTCGGCCACAACACAAGCGGTCTTCATCAGGTGAAGGGACGAGACTGTCTGGAGGACAGCGCTGGAGCGAAAAAGCCACGCTCAGATCGCGACCTTTAAGCTGTGTGAGAAGAAACAAAGCGCCTTGACAAAGGAATTAGCATAGAATTTAGCATTGAAATAGCTGAGTGATTAGCTTGTGACTGGTCACAGAAATGGCTATGTCAAGGCGCTTTGTTTCTTCTCACACAGCTTAAAGGTCGCGATCTGAGCGTGGCTTTTTCGCTCCAGCGCTGTCCTCCAGACAGTCTCGTCCCTTCACCTGATGAAGGCCGCTTGTGTTGTGGCCGAAACGTCGTGAGAATGTTATTGTGTTATTTTATTTTATCATTTTATTATTTTATTCTCATTCTACGTGACTTTACCGAAAGAACCAAAGAAGATAACTTACAGCGGTTACAATCAATGGGCAAATGGAATGTTTTGCACATCCCTAGTGTTTTGAATTTACCCTGTGTCTCCATTTAAAAAAATATGGTGCACTCTCGACATGTTTACAAAATGTAAGCATGCCATGCATACATTCATTAAAGTGGCATGGATTTTCACACTGCATGGAAAAAGTCAAAATGGGAGCAGTGTTTATTGTTTATCAGGGGCTTGTGTACATGTTGTCTGAAAACGTTCATAGTGACTACAACTCAACTACAGATTCAACCGTGCATGTTCAACTGCAAGGCTACCACCGGTACAGATTTTCCGAAGGGCAATATAACATTTTAAATGATCTGCCCATTTATTCATTTATTGCAAGTTTGTGTATATATGTATGTGTATGGGGGTGCGTACCAGTTACCCTGGTATAGTAACCGATGACACTTGGGGATCATTGCATGACCTTCTGCGAGTGAGCCTTCCCCTTGGCCTCAGAGTACAACTATCCTTCAGCAAGTGTGATGGTGCAGTGGTGCCCTATAAAATATGTATTTTGTTAAAAAAAAACATTGCCATGACTATTATTGTCAATCAGCGGCTCAACGAAACCAAGAGACTATTAAATTCACATTGAAATATTTTATGTCTGGAAGGTTTAGCAGTAACCTGCCTGCAAGGTTGTGGTGAGAAGTTTGTGATGGCTGTGATATAAGCAACACATCAGTACACTGTTAAGGGGGTGTATATCTGTATACAAAAAATGATTATTACTAATATATACTGTCTAAGTTTATATGTATGCACACGTGAAACATAAGCAGCTGTATATGTCAAAACAAATCTGGTGCAGTGCTAGCTTCAAGTAGCATTGTAATGTCTTTCGGTTTCAAATCTATCACAGGAAATGCATTTGGACTACAAATACGGAGGCTCATTCTGTCGAACGTTCTTATATCAGAAGCTACATCAACACCGGTTGATGGGAGAGATGTCGACATAAGGGAGGGGGGAACGAATATATACTGGGCAGTCAAATATGCTATTAGAAAAATGTCACATACCGAATTGCCAATCAATTCCCATCAATGTTGACATTACAAAAATCTTAGTTTTGTCACAACTGGGAAATGATGAGATTTTCACGATCGATACTTAATTGCAGCAATTTCCCCACATGGTACAAAGGGGTTATTTATTACAAACAAAGCAATATAATGATGCCTACAAATTCAAGCGTCTGCTAAATAAATTAATTGCATAAAAACACAACGCAAAATGGACGAAGGTACTCGATGTGCGAAAGTCACTCTTCCTTGGTGTTTGGCACAGAGATCAGCCATCCTGTGTGACACCACAGGGAAGTCGGCTGTATGAGGCAGTACAGCAAATAGGTTCTCAGCCATTCTGTGTGGAATTTGAGGGTCATCCCATTTTACGAGCGCTTTGAGATCCTGGATGAAAAGCACTATATAAATGTAATGATTATTATTTCGAGTGACTTTTCTCCAGGCTTTCCAATTCTTTCCCACATTTTAAATCGATCAACAACAAATCATTGCTGGGCATCCCAAGCATCTTGTGAATCGCTTTTCTAAAAAAGTCAGAATCAGAATATTTATTAACACTGGATGAATCCCATGAGTATGAAGCTTTTTTTCGGCGGATGATCAAAGCCAGCGCTGTTTCCTTGCTCACACGAAAACTGGAGTGGCCGCACGTCACTGTGCGTGGCCCTGAGCAAACGGTGAAAATTCCCAATTATCAAGGCCAGGTGAAAATCTCTTCACAGGACAACCACTGTCAACATTGCCATGAAATGGTCCTAATTCTATTGACCCTGAAGGGAAGATTGGTTGACTGAACCCCGAATCAAACTTTAAAATTGCCAACTTCTAATTGGGAGTTAGGTACCCTAACTTGAATAGCATTGAGCCGGTTATAAAAAATATATTAAGTACTATTATAAGAAAAGCATTCCATGTAGATAATTCAGGCAGACAGGAAGGTGGGATGAGGCTGCCAATGCGTAAATAATAAAATATATAACACTTTGATACAAAAATTTAAAATATGTACTCATCGTGAGGTTGAAGTGTGACTCTACCACTCTCCAAATATGACCCAGGCCATATTCAATTGTTTCCATTTGAACCTTATGGCGGGACCCCGGGGTCCCAAATAAACGGAAGTCAAAATCGTAATTGATTCATTTTTGGCGACTCTACGTCCCACCTCGCACATAAACGCCGTGACCCACCAGAAATCAATCCTCTCGTTCTTCACCAAGTACCCGTCGTTGCCAAAATTGCAGTAGTCATAAACAAAACTTTGAAACTTTGATTAGTGCATCGCGTAGAGCTCGTCGAGAGGAACAGATTGCCGTATCGTTCGCCTTCAACAGACATAAAATGACGTCGCAACGCAGTTTATGCGAGAGCCGGGGGCTTATGGGACCCCAGGATCCCGCCATGAGGTTAATTTGCATTTGTGCACGGGAAAAAGCACACACGCTTGCATAAGTATACACGAACACAAGTGCGCTCTCATAGAGTGGAAGCGCTTTACTCCGAATCCCTGCGAAGACAGCAGAGCTATGCACTTTTAAATCTAGATTGAAAATTAATTTCTTTAGAACTGCTTTTAGTGTTCAGTGTGTTGTCCTTCCCCCACACCTCCGATTAGCACGGTTGGCTACGTACGGTGCGAAAGACGTTCCACATACACAGAGTCACTGACCATCAAGGCAAGAATTTGGCTGAAACTCACCGGCCCAGAACTCCTGCCAGGTGTAATGCAGACGAACGCGACACTTCTTCTGATAGCAGATGAGCTTGTGCGAGATTGAAACGCAGCGCCTAAGGGGGGGGGGGGGGGGGCGGGGGGGAATTGGCGTGTTAGAGCGAGGAAGAGACTGGCAGGGTGCAGCAGATTGCCAGCACTACTGAGCACGTGAGCTGACTTAACGTCAAATGTCACGCAAAATGGAAGTGTATTACCGCTTGAATTCCTGTGCTCTATTACAATACATCATCACCCACTGGAACAGAAGGTAAATTTTACTGTTTGCGATTAGTTTTGAGCATCACGTTTAACTGTAATGGCACGCGTGATTTTACATATTGAGTCAGGTAATGCTGTGCTCTGTAAGAGTGTAATGTCACGTTTGAATCCATCGCAGATTAATTTTACTGAGAAACATTTACTTTAGGTATAACTTATACAACTCATCCAGTGAAATACTCTAAACGCATGTTGATTCTAAACGTCGAGATAAAAAATGTAGGATCCGGAGAAAAATCCACGCGACCACGGGGAGAACATGAAAACTCCAAATATACAGCAGGTGTCAGGGTCGGGATCGAACCCACGATCTCCTGTATACTAGGCGATGTAGTCAACATCTCGCCATCGTGGTACCCCGATACAAAAGTGGCAATGACTATGACAATGCAAAAACTGCCACAGAGGACAAACACACTGGCAACTTACGTGTAGAGATCCATCGGGAATTCTTTCATCATGTGCGTTACTATGAACTCCACCATCAGGTCTAAAGAGAAACGTAAAAACAATTACCGACTGCAGAGAATCTCAGTGCCATGCCAAGACCGAGTGACAAGATGCTGCAGGCACTGCGGCAATGGATAAATTATAAAATTAAGGTTTTGTTTTTCCCCAAAGGAGGGTGACAGTGCTATGTGAATAAATGTACATTTGGCCTCCTATGTTAGGTAGATGACAAAACGTGCCTATAGCATTTCAAGTATCTGTCCTTTGCAGAATAACAGGCAACAGTGTCACCATCAGAACAACAACAATTACATGATATGCTTCTTGGCTTGAATCTCAAAAGGGAATAGGTGCGGACTGCATGCGGATGTTCTAAACATCACATCCAAGCTAGGCAAATGTTGCATTAATTACTGTGCTGCACCCCACTCCCACTCTTTCCCAACAGTCCATGCTATTTATAATGAATCTCATGCTTCAATTTTGTTTTTCAACAAGGCACAACATGAAGCACTGGGTGACAAGTCTATAGATTTTGCTGGAAAGCAATTCTTATCAGTCTTTGCACGTCCCAGAATACTATCAACATTACCTTTCTGACACAAGTCTGTGACGTGACATGTTTCTTCAATCGAGAACCCTCGTGTTTTGATTCACTGCTCTGGCGTTTACTCGGGCTCATAACGGCAGACCCAAATGCCATCGTCGTTGATGATGCAAGATAACAATGCATTGGCTTGGCGTGAGCTGCTGGCCAACAATGCACGAAAGACATGAAAACCTGTTTGCTCGCCACTATTCATATGGAGTTGTGCAAGGGCGCCAACATATATGAATGTGCAACGTGTTTGCTATTCAGCGGCAAACATTAATATTTCACGTGGGTACTCGGGGCATTCCCCATTCGCGACGCAATCTTACCACATATCCTGTGGCTTGCAGAATTAAGTATCTTGATTTACTGAGAAGCCATCACACTTTGTTCACGAAGCACTACCCATTGAAAGAGATACATCGTGCAATTTACACAAACACTCAGACATGCACAAACATACACACACACACTCTATACTCTTTGGTTTTTTCGGTAAAGTCACGTAGGTAAAAAATAAAATAAAATAAATGAAAACAACTAAGTTAAATCACACACACTCGACTGAAGATGTTGCAGGATTAGATACTTTATGCTTATGTTAATATTACACTCTAAACATCCACACATTTTAATGAGAACCAATTTTTACATTACTGTCCCCATTCTGTCATTGCTGCTGTTATTGACCATTAACTAAACGAGATAATGCTTTCCACCTATCTTACCTGAAGCATGGTCTGTATGCTGCTGGAACATCATAACGTCATCGACAATTTGGACTGAACAGTTGACAGAGAGCGCATCCGGCTCATTAACGTAAACCGTCCCAGTAAATGTTCTCACACGAAAGAAGGGTTTAAAACGAATTAAAAAGACAGCGGTTGAACTTGCTGCTTGCATAACACCAGTGTCAAGGCATGCCTTGTGGTCGTGGAATGAATGCAATTTTGAAACTTGGAATATATATATATCAATTGGCACCTGCTAGTGTACATCGTGCATCACGTGAGGCAGTCGCATGCCTCGCGGCAAAGAAAAATAGCAGATCAAGCAATAGATCCTGCGATGATTACATGCTTTTGAAATATCACATTTTTTTAAAATGCTTAGAAAACTATGCTTTCTTGCATTAACCTATACAGTGTGCAGAACAAATACATAATTACATGCAATTGTAATTATGTATACTACAGCAAGTGTTGCTAACAAAAATAGTAACTAAATTCTCTAATGACCAACGGCTTTCAAAATGTAGGAGCTTTTCCAAGATGGAAACTATTTTGGAACAAAAAGCACCGATCTGTACACATCTTGCTGATCTTTTCAGCCCAGACACTGCATGAATCATTACTTATTGGGTGTCTTCCCCATGTCAAAAGTGTCACTTTGGTCAAGGAAAAATGTGAGCACTACACAATATATTTGGCATATCAACGATTTAAGTTTCAAGGGGGAGTGACAATACATTTTTATTTGACTATACAACATATTGAATACTCTTTGGTTCTATTCGGTAAGGTCACGTAGGTAAAAATAAAATAACAACTCTACTTCATTCAACATTCATACTTTCTGTTAAGCTAATCCTTCAGTTATTTCAATGCTAAATTCTCCTGTTTGATTTGTACTAGGTGCCTCTGTGGATGTGTAGGCTTTGACTTTAACATAGCCATTTCTGTGACCAGTCACAAGCTAATCACTCAGCTATTTCAATGCTAAATTCTCCTGTTTGATTTGTACTAGGTGCCTCTGTGGATGTGTAGGCTTTGACTTTAACATAACTATTTCTATGACCAGTCACAAGCTAATCCCTCAGTTATTTCAATGCTAAATTCTCCTGTTTGATTTGTACTAGGTGCCTCTGTGGATGTGTAGGCTTTGACTTTAACATAGCCATTTCTGTGACCAGTCACAAGCTAATCACTCAGCTATTTCAATGCTAAATTCTATGCTAATTCCTTTGTCAAGGCGCTCTGTTTCTTCTCACACAGCTTAAAGGTCGCGGTCTGGGCTTGGCTGTGTTCGCTCCAGCGCTGTCCTCGAGAGAGTCTCGTCCCTTCACCTGATGAAGGCCGCTTGTGTTGTGTCCGAAACGTCGTGAGAATTTCATTGTGTTATTTTATTTTATCAATTTATTATTTTATTCTCATTCTACGTGACTTTACCGAAAGAACCAAAGAAGAATCATAATATACTTGTTGACTTTTTTTAAATAAATGTTTTGTTGGCATTTTAGATAATTCTTGTCTACCTAAGGAAAGTGCAAGAATATAACAATAAGATGGCACGAATTGCCTCCTACCCAAGTAGTGCTGCTGTGGAGCACCATCCAGCCTGGCACAAGTGACCAATACAGTGGCATGACCTCTACCACACTCACAATGGTGGTATGACCTACACCAAGATGGTGGCATGACCTCTACCACACTTACAATGGCGGTATGACCTATACCACACTCACAAAGGTGGTATGACCTATACCAAGATGGTGGCATGACCTATACCAAGATGGTGGCATGACCTCTACCACACTTACAATGGCGGCATGACCTATACCAAGATGGTGGTATGACCTCTACTGCACTCACAATGGTGGTACGACCTATACCAAGATGGTGGTGAGACCTCTACCACACTCATAATGGTGGTATGACCTATACCACACTCACAATGGCGGCATGACCTATACCAAGATGGTGGCATGACCTCTACCACATTTACAATGGCGGCATGACCTATACCACACTCACAAAGGCGGTATGACCTATACCAAGATGGTGGCATGATCTATACCACACTCACAATGGTGGTATCATCTATACCAAGATGGTGGTATGACCTATACCACATTCACAAAGGCGGTATGACCTATACCCGGCATGACCTATACCAAGATAGTGGCATGACCTATACCAAGATGGTGGCATGACCTATACCACACTCACAATGGTGGTATGACCTATACCAAGATGGTGGTATGACCTCCACCGCACTCACAATGGTGGTCCGACCTATACCAAGATGGTGGTGAGACCTCTACCACACTCACAATGGTGGTATGACCTATACCACACTCACAATGGCGGTATTACCTATACCAAGATGGTGGCATGACCTATACCACACACACAATGGTGGTATCATCTATACCAAGATGGTGGTATGACCTATACCACATTCAAAAAGGCGGTATGACCTATACCCGGCATGACCTATACCAAGATGGTGGCGAGACCTCTACCACACTCACAATGGCGGTATGACCTATACCAAGATGGCGGTATGACCCATACCACACTCACAATGGTGGTGTGACCTATACCAAGATGGCGGTATGACCTATACCACACTCACAATGGTGGTATGACCTATACCAAGATGGTGGCATGACCTATACCACACTCACAATGGCGGTATGACCTCTACCGAGATGGTGGCATGACCTATACCACACTCACAATGGCGGTATGACCTCTACCGAGATGGTGGCATGACCTCTACCACACTCACAATGAGGAACACCAGCTACAGTACGCATTTAAGGCTGAATCAACCTCGGCATGACCCAAGACAAGTTCAGATGGCACTTCCTACTCATCTGTGGCTGAGAATGAAACTGTATTTCCAGGTTTGGTTTCAACATAGAATACATTCGCCCATTTGTTATTGGTTGTGAGCGGCAAGCCAACTTGGGTCGCCGGGTTCACAGGGTAGTGTGCTAGCCACTACACTACCACTTCCCATGCACCACACAAAAACACTTAAGACAACACATTAAATTCGATCTTGGCATGATCCATGTACCCTAACTCCAAGTTGCAGGTATACATAATTACCACCGTGCATGATGACCAACTCAAATGCAGTGCTTCATCTGTCCACGTGTCTCACAAAGACAAAGATCCCACATATAGCCTTAACAGACTTTGGGGCAAGTGCTGTTAGTGAGCACCTATGAAGGCCGACACGGCACACGAGGAGGTGGGTGGCAAGCACCACGCCTGGCCGTCTTTGTCTCCCCACTGGCGATGTTTAAACACCGCACCAAGTTCTCATTTGAGGCTGAGTCGACCTAGGGAAGGTCCAGGAGCAGTTCAGATAATCGTCACCAGTGTTGGCCATGAGCAGGAATCGAACCCGGGTCGCCGGGTTCGTAGCGCATTGTGCTAACCGCTACACTACTGCTCCCCTCAATGTCTCGCACACACACACAGATAAAAAATACACAGAAGAGTCTGACTGTATTGGACAAAACATTACAAGATGGAATTACCGAGCACGGCACACGCCAGTGGGCGAGACGGCACATTCTTGTCCACAACCTTCTTGCGGTGACGCATTGGCTGCAAGAGATGGGGAAAGTGGGTCACAAGGGGGATGATTAATGATATCGCTTTCTAAACTGTTTAATTATGTTTAGTAGACGTTGATTATGCAGTACCTTTTGTTTATATAGTCTATTCAGCTGTGTGTTGCCTGGTCTTAAGAGCGCTTGACTCGAAAGATCGCAAGTTAACATTCCTGTTGTGGGTCAGCGCAGCCATCATCCAGGGATGATTATATTCTTGGTTCTTTCGGTAAAGTCACGTAGACAGAAAATTCAAATAATAAAATAAAATAAAAATAATGCTTTTATTAATTTCGATTTATTTTAATTTTAATTTTCTATCTACGTGACTTTACCGAAAGAACCAAGAATAAGAATTCCTGCAGTCACGAAAGTTTTAAGTCCAAATTTAGGTTATGATTATGTTAGCACGACTTTGTAGGTAGTCAAGAGTAGTCATCCACAGAACAGAATGTAGGATTATCACTGGGGGGGACAGACGGTCACATCCTAAGGACGGGTGGTGGTTGCATAAGAAAATCACTTCCAAATATATCCTGTTAAAAAAAGATGCTGATAATGTAATATGTGCTGGATTTAGTAATAATCGGGGAATTAAATGAGGAAAGGCTCAGGGGTGTGAGTTACGCAAAAGTGGAAGCCCTTGTCAAAAAAACAATGTTACAATAAATAACATTTGTTAGCATTAATCATCAGCTGAGCGCAGAGTTGTGCATTCTGGCAATATACAGCATAGTATCATGATGTGACGTATCCGTAGAACATCACAGCGGCATGGAATTCCTTATCAAAGTAACAAGAAATTCCTCTAACTTAAAAGCAATTATCTGCGCAATTCAGTTTGAAATACGTAATAATTGGATTTGAAATTGTCAGTCGATGCACATACCAATTGGAACATGAATGCAGTGACTTCCATCAAGTGAAAATGCATATATCACACCAGCATCTTTTGAATTTACACGAGTTTGACCTCACAAAAAATCCTGATCTGATAATGCATTTGAAAATAAAATGTCGTTCTTTGGCATTGGGGTTGGAGGCCAAGTTTGAGTACAAAACAATACATTACGCAAAATACCCACATCTATTTTTACTACAGCAGGCAGTGTCCAATGATACCAAACAGAGACAGGACATTGGACTTTGCATTGACTTAACTCGGTTAACCACAATCTTGGGGAGAGGAGGAACAAAACTAAAGAACAAATCCAGTTATGTGTCGCTCCTTTATCCCTACAGGAGCTGTAAAACTCACAGCTACAGGATGGTAAACTGTGCATATTGTCCACCGAGGATTCTGATGGCATGGGCCAGTGTGAATACACACAGGGATGGCTCTAAAGGTATGTTAGTGCTGGTGACAACGAATCAAATATATGGCGTAGCATGGGGTCGGTTTATGGCATAACGTTCCTGACGGTCATGAGCCCTTAGGTCTAATTAAAGCAGATGGCAGATTATTTGTATCTAATTGGTGAATGTCCTGGAACAAACGAGAAGCTAAATGTCAGGAATTTAATATTGCCACACTCATGAGCACAGACTGAACTGAAACCCAAAAATGAGGCGTCCCGATTGCAATGTTGGGTCCTGGCAAAGCTGAGCAGCATGGAGTGGTGACAGCAGCCAGCGTATTGTGTATTGGGGACAAAGGCTTTTATTGCGATGGAAATCTGCATCTCATTTAAAACATAAATGCTTCGTACTCATTTAAAAGAGAGTGCATTAGCAGCAATCTAAGTTAATTTAAAACATGCTTTGGGAACAACAACAAAAAAACCGTATATTTTCAAACATAATAGAGGTTTTTTGGGTTAGATCGCATAAATATTTTATTTACGTGATTTTTTTGTTGTTGTTCCCAAAGCATGTAAATATTTTATTTACGCGATCTAACCCAAAAACTTCTATTATGGATGATATTGGTCGCGAAAGCCTACGTGTTAAACTTATATTTTCAAACTTACGCTGCATAACGCATTGTACCAACATTTTTGCAATGAAAGTGAAATCAAAGCAGGAATGCCAATAAGTTACCAGCTGACATGTTTTTACAATGAAACTGAAATCAAAGCAGGAATGCCAATAAGTTACCAGTTGACATGTTTTCAAGCAGCTGTATATAAACACGTGCGTGAAAGGCGCAGTGTGTGATTGTTTAATGTGCTGGTGTGTTCATAGTACATCCAGTATGTTGCATGCTCGAGATAAACATGAATGTGCGAGATTATAGGCGAGTGTGCTGAGCTAACACACTCAACTTTGCCCATTCATATCCAATTGGTCTTAAGTCTGATATGGATGATGGCTTCACGGGGGCAATGTTAATAATAAGGCAAGGAGTAAGGTTACAAAGACAACCAATTTACAATGATACGCACAAGCCATTGAGTGTATGTGTTTTGATTAGTGGGTGGCCAAGTGGTTATTGCTGTGCTTGACGTTGGGGTCAAGGGTTCGCTGGACTGAATCCAACCTGCGTGCTCAGACGCCATGGGTTACCGTGAAAGAAGCGTGTTATCCTCGTTTGTGTTAAAGTAAAATAATAACTTAACATTAGTCATGTGTGCAGGCCAATGTGTGCCCATTGTAATGGCCAATTTAATCACAATTACAATACCATCAGAGTTATGTCTCCATGAATCCTTGAAGGGTTAGATGCCCTGACATTTATCTTGACAGGAATCCTCTGAGCCTAACTGCTGCATTATACAAGTATTGGTACATATATAATGACAACACATGAATGAGCTCATGTGAAACATATAGGTGCATGAATATAACCTTGTAGTACAGTACCTAATTTGACAATTATTGCACACTATGGTAATATCAAGCTTTGTGTAGCTTTATGAGACCAATTATTAAAGTGGGCCTAATTATCCATGTCTTCTACAGAAAAAAGCCCTCCCATGCAAACAAATATCCAGAGATCATGTATTTCCTTCCATAAGGACATGTACATGATAGTGGGTTTGATAACCCAACCCAATACAGATTGCTTCTTTTCATACAACATTGTATCACACCTCGAAGCAATGCAAGCAAGTACATTATAAACGCACAACTCTTATAACCTCAGTTACCCCTAGTGTGGAATATTCATGCATTGTAAGCTCAATTAAACAGTTCTTTCTTGCATTGTCTACTGAAATAATTCAATGTCTGTGAAGAGTGTCGAACGTAGTGCCGCGGCAGTGAGCAAGACGAGCCCTCGAAATGGGAAAACCTGAGCTCACGCATGTTCTCAGCACATGCATCCCTGTTGGCAGCAACACACACACTCACCATCTGATGTAGATGAACACGAAAAGTCATGTTGTCGTCATGCAAGAAGGAGTTGGCGTACTGGTCCTGTTAAAAAAGAGCATCACGCAGCAACGGCATCAATTATGAATGCTCCAACTTGTAGCCTCACTCCGTGGTGATTCTCAATCAATACCCCGACTCTGGTGCTTTATTGGCACGCAAAAACGTAACATGCAGTGCATTAGGCCGCCTCTTTTTAATATAAATTCCTCACAGCGCTGTGTGGTTGTGAAATCCCAAAGGCAGGTTGTCAAGTGGATTTGAATGCATGAGCTAATCAAAGAAAGAAAATCTATGGCCACAGCTGTGTTGCTTTAAAGGTCACTCATCGCTACTGCCAAAAAGCTGATTATTGAAATGTGTACCTCTGCAATGCAGGTGAGGATAATCAAACAGAGCTTGGCACTGTTCAGTCTGTGTTCATCTGCAACAAAATAATAAATATTGCCAGTTAGAACAGCACAGCAATGTGTACAGTTATTATAACTATACCCACCATATACAAAGGCATACCTATATATAATTATAGCATACATGTCCGAGATGGTTAATAGTGTTTCCACTTGTGTTTATGCCTTCATTTCGCCAATACAATTTTCTGAAAACATCTTGTAATGGGCGTTCAACACGTTGCTAGAAGGCACAATGATGGCCAGCGGTCGAGGCTAGCAGGGGAATGGCAGCCAAAGGCACAAGCCCTTGAAGACGTCCGTCATGGAGATGAGATCAGACCACAGATTGTGATCATTTGGGGAGGCTTTCATCCAGCCGTGGAGATATTATGGCTGATGATAACATACACAAATATACCAATTCATGTATAATCCACCGATGTCGTTCAGATTGAATTCATTGCTCAATTGTAAAAATCTGCGCTCATCAACCTGCCCTGAGCAGTGTGATGAAGTATCGTCAAACAAACCTCACAAATGTGGCAGTATTAAACCACAAGCAGAAGTGGTATCTTAAAAAAATAAACCAATTAATAAAACCGTAAATTTCCTTTTAATAATTGATGTAGAGTAATGCATGCTTACATTTAAAATTAACGATACGCTTTAAAAATTAATGACGTAAATGAATGCGCTATAAAATACAAAGATCCCCCGTATAGCCTTCAACACTGTTGGGGCAAGTGCTGTTAGCGAGCGCCTATGAAGCACGACACACGAGCGGGTGGTGGGGCAACGCCACACCTGGCTGCCTTTGTCTCCCCAGTGCTGATGTTTAAACACCGCATCAGGTCGTCATTCAAGGCTGAGTCGACCTAGTGGACACCCAGGACCGGTTTAAATATTTGCCACTGTTATTGGTCTTGAGCGGGAATTGGAACTCGGATCGCCGTGTTTGTAGCAGCGCGCTAAGCACTGCACTCTTGCTCCCGATGAGCTATATATACATATAACACAAACACAATCTGTTGTGTTCACATTCGTCACGTAAAAGATTAATTTAACTCCTAGAAAATATATAACAGCATAGCAGTGAAAAGGGCTCAATGTATTCAAGTCTCAGGACCCGACTACCCCAGCATTGGGAGTCATTCTGATGTTGAAGTTATTTGGCATGGCGTTTGTGAGTTGCACTGATTACAATGTGATTGTGAAAGAACATGGGCATTGTAATGCACGTCGATGGTCGAAACACAACGAGTAGCTTGTTTAGACAACATGACATTACATCAATCAAGCACACACTCATGACTGTTATGATTCGCACCGAGTCGGGTAAAAAGGCATCAGACCCTCTCGTTAAAAAAGACACACTGAAAAATGCTTCTAGATATTCAAATTTAGAACAGGCATTGTGGCAGCGCTCATCTTCATTGGTGGCACACAAAGGGGGGGGGGGGGTGGGAAGCCTCACCACACAATGATTAATTTCAACTTCTTACAATGGTGGAACATATTTTATTGGGAAAATAGGCTATGATGTCCGAACCGGACTCTGAACTCGCAAACATATGAAAATCGTACTCTTTGGTTCTTTCGGTAAAGTCACGTAGGTATAAAATAAAATACGTGACTTTACCAAAAGAACCAAAGAGTATGGATTCCTGCAGTCACGAAAGCTTCAAATCAAGATTGATATGAATATCAGTTGAGTACTCTAACCACAACACATCTGGCAAATAGTTACTTTGTAAACATAACATATATTAATTTATATCTTTATTTTTGAACCAATACATGACTGAATAGTTTCGCTACGTAAATTGTCACACACGCTGCCTTTAAATTGTTTGCCACGATAACGGAAGTGAAAGGCCAAGTCAATGGAGAACGCTTTCCCAGCACTATGTCTTAATCTCTCAGGGGGACAAGCTCGCAAAGAACAAGTTTTATCCGCCAAGGATCGGAAGGGTGACGATTCACGTGCCAACGCCATCTCCCACAGTGCCGTAGTACGGGCACGGGGCCAAAACTAAATACAGCCGACTCCATCTGCAGGCTCGTTGATGCAGGAGGCACCACGACACTCCTCCGCGTAAGACACCGCCAACTGTGCAGTCGTATCTTAGCATAACCCCCCCCCCACCTTAAATAAGGAACATCTGCTGATAGAACAAAAGTACTTGTCCGTGAAGCTGCAGAGTGTACAAAATGTGAAAGTGAATGAATAATAGAGTGGGCCAAATCACTGATTTTTAAATTCACCTATGGAGAAGCATTACTGGACATCTGTGAGGAAGAGCTTCACATATCATCGGATTCCTCCAGCCTAATTAAAGAATCTGATTCTGATCCCGAATTTCACAATCTATTCATAAGCTCAGGAGATGTTTGCAATATAGATCGTTCGATTTAATTAAATAAAAACATTTATTCACGGACCAAATTAAACAAATGACACCAACAATTGTGTATATATACATCAATTCGTACCAAAGGCAATGGTTGGCTGCCAACTGATATAACTCAGTATTTTTTACATCAATTATTTTAAGGCATCAATAACGACATTACAGCAGCATTATTATTATCATTGGCCGATATAAGGTTGATTAATGAAGTCAGGATTAGTTGTGCTGTTAAAAAGTTCTCACTTTTAAAAAAATTGCTGATAACAGCCATAAAAATGCACCTCTTGATGACAAAGAACCAACAATTACATTCGAAACAAGCTGACTGCATTTTATCTGGGTACAAAACACCCTCCCCAGTGCACACAAATCCCATACTTGTCATGGAGAAGTCGTTACTTTCTGTCACCACTTGTTTCTAGCCACGTCCACACTCAAGGTACAATGTCAGGGTTTTCACGAGTTGGATTTATGAAAGAAAGATGCTATGCGAGGAGGAATTATCCCACATAGCCCAACTGAGAGCTCTCTATGCGAAATGACAGCCCTACTAAGGGGCTTTTCTTAGTATGTGCAGTAGGTTGGAATTAACTTTCTTCATCAAAATTACTTAATGACGTTACCATTTCTGCCAAATGCATTATCAATAATTGGTTGTGCAGTCGATGTATTACTACGAATAGTAGGACTCTTCTGCAGCCCTAACACTAGCATTTTTATCTTTACAAATATTCACCGAATCACTATTGCCATTTACTTTTAGATCACGGAATAAGGTTAACCAACAAGACTTAGAAAAAACTATAAACAGCACACTGCATAATACAATTGTGTGTAAAAAAAACAGAAACGTTCCAATATCTAGCATGCCATAGTGTCGATACCAGCAATTCATTCCTTTTGGTTTGATTAATTTGTGACATCATTAAAAAACGAGACTGAATATTAATTGCGCCCGCCGCAGTAACGAGCCTGATGGGGGCACTGTGGGGGCCTGTGCTGGTCTACGTTCGCGGTGACTGGCACCCATGCCGTACAAGCAGGAAGATGGGCATACAGCATCCCTCCCTCCCTTGCCTGTCACATCTCAGCTCGCTGACAGGCAGGGGGGTGACGCAGCCTGCGGGGCTCTCATTTTGCACTCAAGCGATTTAGCACAGCTGGGGACCTTCCATTACTTGCTGCTTCCCGTGGAACTGCGCTGTAAATTGGCAAAAATATTAATAAATAAAACCCCACTTTAATAAATAATGTACTTCGAAATAGACGCTTTCATGTTTTTTTTTTACACAGACTATGCTCGCAGGCCAAGCTGTGCATGTTTCTTCAGAAAGGCCTTAATGCCTGGAATAATTTGTTATGTTAAGTCAAACAGAAAGACCAAGTTTACTGTGAAAAAAACAACAGTGCACAAATTATAGCTCAATTGCCTAAAGTTTTCAGACCTGAAAACTGGCATAAATGTGGAATTCAATTGCATACTGTTCATTTTTATACCATCATTTGTTTTTTATCATACCTTAAAAGAGATAACAAAATAAATAAGCAATGTCTCGATTTAAAGCTTTCGTGACTGCAGTAATTCATATTCTTAGTTTTTTCGGTAAAGTCACGTTGAAGAGAAACAACAAAATAACAAAATATATATAAAACAATAAAAAATTCTCACGATGTTTCGACCATAACTCAAACGGTCATCATCAGGTGTGTCGGTTTGCATAAATTTATTTTGAAAACGGCATATTTATTTATTTATATATATATAAAAAAAAATAACGTTTGCGTCACGCGCAACGATTGGCAGTTTGCCCAGGACTAGTCCATCTATTTTTTGAAAAGAGGAGGGGGGAGACGAAATTTCGTCTGCCAATCGTTGCGCGTGACGCAAACGTTATTTTATATATATATAAATAAATATGCCGTTTTCAAAATACATTTATGCAAACCGACACACCTGATGATGACCGTTTGAGTTATGGTCGAAACGTCGTGAGAATTTTTTTATTGTTTTATATATATTTTGTTATTTTGTTGTTTCTCTTCAACGTGACTTTACCGAAAAAACTAAGAATAAGCAATGTCTCCTTCGCACCAATTACATTTGACTTAAATGAGAAAAATAGGCTCCATGGATTGACTGCAAAAGCACTTAATTTTCTTTACAAAGGTGGAGATGACCAGGTGGCTCACAAATCAGAGCATTGAGCTGGCATGGCTGAGATCCTGAGTCTGAATCTGGAAAGCAATCTGTGATTAAAAAATTCTCAAGTGTAGCGAGGTGATGGTCTCACCTGGGTGACCAGTGACTGCAAAACATTTCCCTTAAACTTGCTTTAACACTTGATTTGACTCTCAAGTGACAAACAATTGCATTGCACAGTGCGTGGGAATGTGCCCTCTACTGTGTAATGATCCAATGTGCAGTTTCATATTTTGGGAGAAGTCCGATGTAAAATCTCGTCCACTCTGACAAGTGGGGCATGCTGCTCTCTCGGTTTTCTGAATGGATTCTTCATCTCACGACACGATGCCCCTAGCGCAATTGGAATTAAGTAATACAAATTACAAAATATCACTATTTAGTCTCCAAAATACAGTTTTCTGGGGGGGGGGGGTTAGATCACGTAAATGTTTGTCGTTAAACCCGCCACCATCCAACAGCCAATTAGTAATGTTTGTTACGTAAACAGAACATGCCAATTCGTTACTAGTACAGCACACCGGTGTGTTGGAGAGCCAAGCCACAACGTTTACCATCTGAGTATGACGTTTCGCCAATAATTACAACTAGCTTCATCAGGCGACAGCCAGATTTGTGGAGAAGTCCTCCTATTTCATTCCTTAGAGGGGTAGATGTGAGTCTCCATGGCCAATCTAATTTCAAGCTGATATTGTATGTATATATGTTTGCATGTTAGACTTATTTCACACAGAACGTAGCCAACCATGCTAATCGGAGATGCAGGGGAAGGACAACAATCTAAACACAAAAAGCAGTTATAAAGAATTAAATTTTCCACCTAGATTTAAAAGTGCATAGCTCCATTCGCTTCCTAATACCGGAAAAGCATTCCAGACGGCCACAGAAGAGCATCTGAAAGCGCGCGATGCGGTGACCGTCTTTGTTTGATGGTTAGCCAAAAGCCACCGCGAGGATGACCGGAGTTTGCGTGATGGTTTATGCTCCTTGACGAGATCAGCGAGGTGTTGTGGTTCGTTTGTGGCAAGCACTTTGTGTGTAATGAGCATGACCTTCTCGTACATGAGAAGCCATGAGCCGGTCTTGGAGATTCTACATTAATATGGTTTAGCTTATTCTCTCTATTAGACAAATTACTGTTCACTTCCCACAAAGTAGTACTAATTAGGGTAAAGTTAATTATGGTTAGGGAGAATAAGGATTTTCTGAAGTGAACTCTGAACTAGATTTGAATTCATGGCCTTCTGATTGCAAGTCAATCACCTTGTCACCAGACCAAATGGATGGACTGCAATTAGCAATGGATGCGGACATGCTGTTTAAACATCACATGCCAAAATGAGGAATGTGGGAGAAGCACGTGTAACCCCAGACAGAATCAAACAGTCTTCAACTGAACCGGGCATATGATCCTAACCATGTGAATCTGAAATGCTATAAAAGATAATTATTCCTTTAAATGGGATTTTTTTCATGTTCAGCTGTATAAAATGTGGGGTATTAGACATGCTCACTGTCCATTAATTTTGGAATGAAACGCTCCGATATTGTAATTTCAAAGACTTTTTGACAGTTTTGGTAATGGTGTGATTCTTCTCAGGTACATGTTCTATCACAAAAAACTAAGCTTCCAAGTCTTGAAATTTGACATCTACTTAAAGCTCGCAGCAACTGTTGAAGACCAGAATGGCCAGTAGGTTTGCTCTGCAATTCAAGCGACAATAATAAGGCCAAGTCTCAATAAATCATTCTTGAAAGTACCAAACAGAATACACCATGGCGAGTTAGTATACAAGTTAACACATAGTTAGTATGCAGTGCATAAAATGTGTGGTTTAAAGTGAATTTGGCTGCCTTTGATAGATTTGATAATGCATTTGTAATTATCAGTGTACTCTACAAATCTGCATACCTGTAATCACACTGCCATACGGCTTTCAATGTGAAGCGTGTTTCTGGAAATGTGTAAAGAACAATGTGTGTCTTTGAAAAGCATCACAATTCATTTTTAACCCAACAATCAAATGACAGGAATAGGCATTAAATGCCATAGCATCAATCGTCACTTAAAAACACAAACTGCAAGAATTATTCTCCTGGGAAAGTGATGTCTGCACAATGAAGATAATAAGATCTTCAAGTTCATGAAAGTTATTAAGTCAGAAATAGGATGAAGTAGACCACTGTAGAGAGGGCATCGTTCATTGTCAGGATGTAATAATAAAATGGCCGTGAAAGAACGATTCATCAGCATAAAAAACAGCCGCTGTCACTCTGCAGTGCCCAGCAGGATCTCATTCATATTTATTGGTAAAATATAAAAGGCCTCCCTTGGAAAAGATACCTGTTATTATAATAGACTCCCAGATGTTTATTAATCTTGGAAATCTCTCTATCTATTTGGTTATTCAAAGTCTTTATCACTGCTGGTCTCTCTGGAGATGACACTTCAATTTGAATGCTTTGGGTTTCTCAGTATCGTTCTCAAATTCTCATCAAACTATTTTTCATTTTACATTACAGACTCCAGGAGCACGTTTATTTTATCTTTCCAGCAGAACACCAAACCAGTACTGGGCTGGGTGAAAATTAAGTGTCAATATTTCAATGCAACAATTTATAAAATGAAAACCTCTTTCAAGCAAGTACTAAGGGTACAGTGAGGGAAAAAAGTATTTGATCCCCTGCTGATTTTGTACGTTTGCCCACTGACAAAGAAATGAACAGTCTATAATTAATGGTAGGTTTATTTGAACAGTGAGAGACAGAATAACAACAAAACAATCCAGAAAAACGCATGTCAAAAATGTAAAAAATTGATTTGCATTTTAATGAGGGAAATAAGCATTTGACCCCTCTGCAAAACATGACTTAGTACTTGGGGGTAAAACCCTTGTTGGCAATCACAGAGGTCAGACGTTTCTTGTAGTTGGCCACCAGGTTTGCGCACATCTCAGGAGGGATTTTGTCCCACTCCTCTTTGCAGATCTTCTCCAAGTCATTAAGGTTTCGAGGCTGACGTTTAGCAACTCGAACCTTCAGCTCCCTCCACATATTTTCTATGGGATTAAGGTCTGGAGACTGGCTAGGCCACTCCAAGACCTTAATATGCTTCTTCTTGAGCCACTCCTTTGTTGCCTTGGCCGTGTGTTTTGGGTCATTGCTATGCTGGAATACCAATCCACAACTCATTTTCAATGCCCTGGCTGAGGGAAGGAGGTTCTCACCCAAGATTTGACGGTACATGGCCCCGTCCATCGTCCCTTTGATGCGGTGAAGTTGTCCTGTCCCCATAGCAGAAAAACACCCCCAAAGCATAATGTTTCCACCTTCATGTTTGACGGTGGGGATGGTGTTCTTGGGGTCATAGGCAGCATTCCTCCTCCTCCAAACATGGCGAGTTGAGCTGATGCCAAAGAGCTCCATTTTGGTCTCATCTGACCACAACACTTTCACCCAGTTGTCCGCTGAATCATTCAGATGTTCATTGGCAAACTTCAGAAGGTCATGTATATGTGCTTTCTTGAGCAGGGGGACCTTGCGGGTGCTGCAGGATTTCAGTCCTTCACGGCGTAGTGTGTTACCAATTGTTTTCTTGGTGACTATGGTCCCAGCTGCCTTGAGATCATTGACAAGATCTTCCCGTGTAGTTCTGGGCTGATTCCTCACCGTTCCCTTGATGATTGCAACTCCACGAGGTGAGATCTTGCTGTGGTTTTCACACCTGATGATTGCTTGTGTTGCAGTCGAAACGTCGTGAGAATTTTATTGTTTCATATTTTTTTATTATTTTATTGTTTCCCTTCTATGTGACTTTACCGAAAGAACCAAGAATAAGTGATAATTAAGTTAAATTGTTAAACAGTCACTGCTGTCATGTGACCCAGATTATCACATCACGTTCCAGGTCACAGAATAAACAAATTTGAGTTTAAATTTAATTCCACTGTCCAGAAATGGCCCATATAATTGTCCAGCCAAAATGCTTATAGAGCCCTACATAGCAATCCTATTAAAACTGTTGCAGTTTACATTTCAATGCTAAACACCAGAAATAGCATTCTATTCATTTACTAATAGCAAAGCAGTGATGCACTTTAGCATGGCTGCATAGTCTCAATTGAACAAACACATACTTACATTTTGCAATAGTTTCCGATTAATTTTCAAAATTGCAGAATATTACAGCAATATAAATAAATGCAATGTACCCAAAATTTCGGGTTGTGGATTACTGCACAGATGTCAAAAGAAAGAAAATTAGAATCAGCTCAATACACTTTTCCATTTACACAAAACACTGACTGAAAGCCTGAAGGGTGGTGATTAATGTCCGTGTTCTCAATGGTGATAAACTATGTATCTGCAGATACAGGATATACTGACAGCATGACAATTCCCATAATAGCAGCCTGGCAACATTAACAAAAGGACCAGAGCACATGGGCACAAAGCCCCTAATTACTAATTTTGATGTGAGTTTTTCTATATGGCCAGGTGGTGTTATGATTAGAGCACTTAATTCGCAATTGTAAGGTTATAACTTATATTCTCGTTCAGTATTATACTCGGCCTATCATCCTCTGTAGTCGATAAAATGAGTATCACTTTATTGGAAGTGATGAGTGGTCATGGCATGGACAAAATTGGCCCCAAATACTGTAATGTGGAATATTCAGGCTGCCAAATGAGATAAACACCACTCCATGGCTCATTTCAGCATGGAGTCAAAAACTGACGTGAGAGTTTTCCCTATTCCATCTCGAACACCACTATCCTCGGAAAACAAGTGTTTTTAAATCAACAGACTTTGATGTAGAGCAATGGCTACTGAATTTAATAAACGCTCTTTATTTATAACCAGGTAACAAACCCGTGGAGACAATGGGTCTGATTTACGCGTTGATTAAAAGGCAGCGTCCACAATTGCATTACAATTTAATGTCGTCTTCCATCCACGCTTTTGCATTGAGAACATAAAAGACAAGTGCACACACGTTCACTCGTACAAAACACGGATGGGTTCACATCAAATACCGAATGAACTCTGCTCGGTGGCTGACTGCGTTCACGCATTCACACAAGGGGCTACGATGCAACAACAAAATCACGCTCTCAACCACAGCTCTCACCTTTGGTGTCCTGCATGATGATGGAGCTGTACTTGAGGAATGTGATGAGGAGATTGCTGGTTTGGATGTTTGGATCAAGTGGGAGCTCTGTGCTGCTCAATGCTGAAGCGAAAACACCCGCGAGAAGCGGCAATCAGACAAGCACCGTGGGAACACAGAACGTGCGCCGTTCAGGCGTACTAGTGCTTAGAAAAGCACCACGAGACTTTATTATTGACAGAGCCAGGAATAAAAATATACATTACAGTTTGTGATTGTATGCATGTATGTATGTATGTTGAACTTCTTTCACACCATACGTAGCCAACCGTGGTAATCGGAGGTGCGGGGGAAGGACAATGATGAGTTGGCACAGATTACCACTGTGGATATTAAAAACGTGTTTTTATCTAACACAATGCAATGACAAGTTGAAATAAACATCCTATGTGGCCTTCCTAAGTCATGGGGTTGTCCTGTTTTGAATATTTCATGTAACAGTACTACTTTAGAATCACAATACCATAATGTGTTCAGACTTGCCCCAATCTAAGCCAAATGCACAATGAGTAGCAAATCATTCAGGGTGGCTGAGCATGAAGGTGTTCTTTTCCCCTAAAACAGACTCTCAAAATATTAATGTCCACAGCAACATACAGACTGATTTCCCTAACCTCACTCTATACATTGTGTGAGCCATCACACCAGGATGTCAAAGCTACAATCACATGAGGTCTAGGTTCATACAAACAAAGTCAGCTCCATGAGCAGATCAATACTCCATCGTGTTGAAATAGTATTAAATCACTTTCAACCAATCAATACATTTTACGGTCTGATAACTTATAAGCACTAAACCTGCTCCATCCTGTAGGCTCGGTCATTGGCAGAGGGTGTTTCGCTGCTAAATGCTTCAGGCCGGGTAGTGCATTTTGGATGGCCTTCTCTGCATGCTCAGTGATAACCATGATGCATGTTAGTTAGTAGTTAGATAGTGCACAGTGAATGGTTTTTAAACAGTGCTTAAGGCTGGACATTTAATTGTGTGTGTTCTAAAGTTTATCTCAGATGCTGAATGGTACATTTAAATTGCCCTTTGTCAATCCACTTCTAGACGAAGGGCACCCCAAGTTGTGTCGGTCGTATTTTACCATGCTGGTCAATGCAGATTGGTGATCGGGGGAGGCCCAAAGGACCAGTTCAGAATCAGAAACTTTATTTAGACTGGAGGAGTCCAATGAGCTATGAAGCTCTTTTTCACAGATGTCCAGTATGGGCAGGTCAGCGGCTGAGATATCAATTACCACCAATGTTAGCCATGACCGTGAATTGAACTAAGGTCACCAGGTTCATAGCGCAGTGTGTCAACCGGTGCACTGCCACTCCACCATTCACAGTACCATGGTCGACTTTAGATCCATGGTGGAGGTTTTGTTTGTTACTTATTGGTGGGCACCGAATGTTAAAAAGACCATGTACATATGTATGTGTTGAACTTCTTTCGCACCATGCGTAGCCAACCGTGCTAATCGGTGGTGCAGGGGAAGGACCACAAACTAAACACAAAAATGAACACTCATTAAATGAGCTTTAAACTATATTTAAAAGTGTATAGCTCCAGTGACTTTCTAATAGAGAGAAAAAGCATTCCAGATGGTCACAGAAGCACATCTGAAAGCGCGCGATGCAGTGATCATCTATATTCGACGGCAAGCCAAAAGCCACTGTGAAGATGACTGGAGTTTGCGCGATGGTTTATATGCTCCTTGACGAGATCAGCAAAGTATTGTGGTGGACCGAGCATCGTGAATTCTGGCTAGTCGGTGCTGGGTGATGAGTTCTGGCTGTGGCGTGTTGGAAGCACTCACAGTCATTGGCAGGAGGGGTGGTGCCTGGCTGCGGAGTGGTCGGGGTGGTGGGAGATGCGGGTGCTGTAGGAGGTGGGGTGATGATTCCCATTTCTGGGTGACTCTGGAAATGACATCACCTTCTTATGAACACACATTCAATAGTTTTCATGCATTTGCATGCTACGCAGCACAATGCAAACATTGCACTATTCATATGACAGCACATACGCACAACACACGCAAATAGACATGTTTGCAAAACAATCCATAAAGCTATTGTATGTACAAACATTCAATTGAATCATTGAAAATTGTTAAGAAGATGCAAAGTTGGGATAATAATCTATAAGATAATTGCCCTCTTGTCAAATCTGAATAATCTTCGGAGTTATGGTCTATTGAACCAGTTCCCATCATATGTATATCTTTATAAACTCAACTATCAATATCTCTATGGTGCTCTTTAACATTTCAGTCATTTTACACAGTGCAACGACTGACGGTCAGCAGTAAAAAATATCCCTGTTGAGTGATCACAACATTGTCACTAGTCCAGAGAGAAGAAACAAGCTAATGCATTTACGAGGGTAAAAAAAAGAGAAATCTCACATCATTTATTGAAGGACCTGTCAATTAATCAATACAAACTTGTCAGACATAAAAAAACAGGTGCCGTGTGAAATTGATGCACCTCCCGAGCTATCGCCAGCACATGCCACGAATAAAAATGGCCCCTTTATGCAATAAAACATTATTCAACCAAAACATGTAATCCGGGTGACGAGCAGAAAATTACGTGAGGCAAGAATACAATACTGTCAAATTCCATCCGAAATTAGATGTAGTAATTTATCCCAAAGAGAAAAAAACTGTCGATTTGAGCGCAGCCCATCTTCATACGAGTCACAAATATAAAGAGAAACGTTCCTTCCACTATATTTAAACGGTCTCTCAATGTGCAATTTTATGGGGACCATTTCTATGACAAAAAAGCAGCCAGCTCTTGAATATTTTTTTTACAGGATCTTAAAAATTCTGTTGATAGAAGTGCTAAACTTAACTTCTCATGAATTAAAGAACAAATGTGGCCCCTTCAATGTCAAGCCCTTGACATACACCTCAATGGAAAAGCTGTTAACCATCACGCTGGTAACCATGAGCCTCCCTTATTTTATCTCTCTCAAAAGACTCAATACAATTAACACGAATGCTAGATCAACTCAGCTCTCCAGATTCACAACGTAGTGCACAACCCACTTTATAACAGCTTCCCTTATGCTGCACTTAATAGAGAAGACAATACCAAATTTCAATTACAGTTTTCAAGTTCGAAAATTACAAAAACAGTTTCAACGTATATAAAAGCCAGGCTTAAAGCACTTATGCAAGGTCTGTTTTCTTAAAGTGGCCATAAACACGATCGTCAATGTCCGAACTCGAGCCCAATGCCTCAAGAAAGCTCAAGTTAAAATAAAACACACACCCCACGCTCCCGCAGGGCATTGTACGCGTGAAAAAGAGCGCCTCTTGAGTATCCGTAACGCAACTAAGACAACGGAGCAGGCAAGTGACCCGCGCACTGAAACACGATTAGAAGAAAACCTCAACGACCAACATTGGTAACCCGGCAAACCAGACCACCAGCAGAGGACAACAACGAAGATAACCGTGCAAGAAGAACGGCCACGCTCAACGTGCTCCCCCTTCAGCACGTGGGGAGCAGAGTGGGAACAGAACATGCCGATGGCTGCTTCAGTTAACCAGCCTGAACAAGGAGTGACTAAAGCCTGGTTTACCCTTCAGTGGCTTTCAACACTTTCATGTGTGTTGAACTTCTTTCGCACCTTATGTGCATTCCCCCCCCTCCCACCCCCCCCTCCCCTTTTATCTTCTTCTCCTACAGGGGAATCAGAGCTTAGGAAGACACCAGTATGGTGTAGAGTTTATTGCAACAGTTTATTGAAACATGCGGTTTGGACAGGTTTCCATTGCACTGTAATCCGTAATGTGTTTGTGCTGGTGTCAACCGAATATCATGTCATCTGTGTGTAACTGAATCGTCTTGTTCATACAATACTTTGTGGGGGGGGGGGGAAAGTGCATACCTCCAGAGGCTTCCTAACATCTGAACTTTTGCCAAAACACCAACAACAGGAGGAGGAGGAGGCCAGACGAAGATCAACGACCACAGGCCACAAATGAGGGTAGATGAACATCAAGGAACGGGGGCCAAAAATCTGCCACCAGATTCCCAAATGCCTCCCCTCCACCTTTCTAGCTCACTAAGCTAGTGCGGAAAGTACAGCCCACTCAAAAGACTCAGGCTCTAAGCAGCCGTACTTCATAGCGTGTCTCTACAGTGAGGGAAAAAAGTATTTGATCCCCTGCTGATTTTGTATGTTTGCCCGCTGACAAAGAAATGATCGGTCTATAATTTTAATGGTAGGTTTATTTGAACAGTGAGAGACAGAATAACAACAACAAACTCCAGAAAAACGCATGTCAAAAATGTTATGAATTGATTTGTATTTTAATGAGGGAAATATGTATTTGACCCCCTTTCAATCATAAAGATGTCTGGCTCCCAGGTGTCTTTTATACAGGTAACGAGCTGAGATTAGGAGCACACTCTTTTAAAGGGAGTGCTCCTAATCTCAGCTTGTTACCTGTATAAAAGACACCTGTCCACAGAAGCAATCAATCAGATTCCAAACTTTCATCCATGGCCAAGACCTAAGAGCTCTCCAAGGATGTCAGGGACAAGATTGTAGACCTACACAAGGCTGGAATGGGCTACAAGACCATTGCCAAGCAGTTTGGTGAGAAGGTGACAACATATTCTTAGTTTTTTCGGTAAAGTCACGTTGAAGAGAAACAACAAAATAACAAAATATATATAAAACAATAAAAAATTCTCACGACGTTTCGACCATAACTCAAACGGTCATCATCAGGTGTGTCGGTTTGCATAAATTTATTTTGAAAACGGCATATTTATTTATATATATAAAAATAACGTTTGCGTCACGCGCAACGATGGCAGTTTGCCAGGACTAGTCCATCTATTTTTTGAAAAGAGGAGGGGGGAGACGAAATTTGTTTTTATGTAAGCTGTCTGAAAGGCACTGTAAGCGTGAACAATCAATCAAGAACTGAAATGATTTATCAAATCTTTCCAATGATTGCTAAGATAGAATCCATCTTCTCGGTTGAAATTGTCTCTGTGTTTGTATATGTGGATAGCCTCATGAACGAATCTCTCATGGAAGCCAGATGGCTTACAAAGAACCTCCGTCTTGGAAAAGTCAATGGCATGTGAGCCTACTGAATTAGAACAATGATCTGCTACGGCCGAGGTGTTGGTCCTACCGTGTTTAAGGTCTGCTTTATGTTCACGAATGCGGTCCGAGATATGGCGTTTGGTTTCTCCAATGTAACTACTACCACAGAGGCAACTTAGTTTGTAGACACCAGGGTATTGTATGTCCGGAATCACATCTTTTACAGACGGAACCAGATCACGGATTTTATGTAATGTGTTGAAACGGACCTGGATCTTGTGTTTATTCAAGATTTTGGAGATCTTTTTTGTGATCCCAGCAATGTAGGGTAAAGTGATGGTTTTGAAAGGCTCCTCAAGAGGGTTCTTCTTCATGGTTTGAGTGATAGCTTTGCGGATTGTATAGTCGGAGTAACCATTAGCCCTAAGAGCTTGGTGTACGTGCTTGAGTTCACTGCTTATGTGTTCCTGGTCGGATATGCATTGGGCTCTATGATACAGAGTCTTGATGAGAGAATTCTTCTGTGATGGATGGTGGTGGGAATCCGGTTTCAGATAAGCATCCGTATGGGTAGCTTTCCTGTAGACAGAGTGGCTCATTGAACCATCAGGTCTCTTTTTAATTAGGACATCCAAAAAAGGTATCTTGCCATCTATTTCGACTTCCATGGTAAATCTGATGGCTGGGTGTATGGAATTGATGTGGTCGAAGAATTTGTCTAGAGCAGGCCGGCCATGTGGCCAGATGACAAAAGTGTCATCCACGTACCTCTTCCATAAGGTTGGGCGCAGAGTGGCAGTCTGGATGGCGTCAGTCTCAAATTTCTCCATGAAAATGTTAGCTATAACTGGAGAAAGGGGGGAGCCCATTGGGGTGCCCTCAGTTTGTTTGTAGAAAGTTCCATTCCAAGTGAAGTATGTATTGGTTAAACAGTGTCTCACCAGGGGGGGTACCTCAGTGTTTAGTCCTTGATGAACCAAGTCTTCAATGATTGCAATGGTGTCAGGTACAGGAACCTTGGTGAATAAGGAAACTACATCAAAACTGACAAGCAGGTCGTCTGGGGACAGGGAAATACCCTTGATTGTTGATACCAGGTGAGTAGAATTTTGTACCGCAGAGGTGGTCTTTCCAGTGAAAGGACGCAGGATTTCAGACAAAAAACGAGCTAGTTTGTAGGTGGGGGAGCTGATAGTAGAGACTATGGGACGAAGAGGTGTATCAACTTTATGTATTTTTGGTAAGCCGTATAATCTTGGTGGCCTGGCAGCAGAAGGTTTCAACGAAAACTGTTTAGATTGATCAATTAATGCGGTTGAATCAGAAATTATTTTGTTGGTTTGTGTGACGAGGCTGTTGGTGGGATCTCTTTTTATTTTTGTATAACTACCATCGTCGAGTAATTCTTTAATTTTGTTGTTGTATTCTATTTTATCCATGATAACAGTAGCATTGCCTTTGTCAGCTGAGAGAACTACAATATCATTCCTCTTTTTTAATTTATATAATTCAAAACGCTCATCTTTGCTGAGGTTGCTAGCTGGCATCTTAGCGTTTTTGAGGGTTGCAGCGATTTCAGATCTTGCTACGTCTGCAGCGATGTGACCCAGGCCCCTGAGAGCAACGTCTACTTGGGCAATTATATCATTAACTGGTATGTGTTTAGGTGTGACTGCAAAGTTTAGACCTTTAGCTAAAACGGATTTCAGACCATCGGAAATAGAACTGTTACTGCGATTAATTACGACTTTATTAACGTCTAACTTTTTGGTGTGTGGGTCCGGTCTTTTGTTTAAGAGGAGGTTAAATTTGGAAATCAGGTTTTCCTTACATTTGGTCG